CATGCAACGTGCAGGGTGTCTCCCCAGCTTTTGTCCAAGCTGCCACAGTGTGGCCATGCACAGGGAGCAAGGACAAGCACAGGGAGCAGCATCTAGCAGCAAGGGAGAGGGCAAGGAGGATGAGCTGGAGGGAGGGGGGGGCTGCCAGCAAGGTTAAAAGGGAGGGAGGGAAAAAAGGGAGAAGGAAATGGAAGAAAGCTCTCCCTTTTCTCCTGGGAGCTCCAAAAAAATGCTCTGTTCTACAACATGTCCCATATATTTCACTCCTCTGCCTCTTCATCCTTAGCTTTGGGGAGCAGCATGCATGGTGCACAGGGAGGAGGGGGCCAGCTCTGCCCAAAGCCGTGCTGAGGCAGGAAGTTTTGCGGGATGAACAAGCAGGTAGGAACATAACCAGAAACGTTGTGTAGAAGTAATAAACGTCCCTCAGCCTGTGAGGGTAACCGCATAGCTCACACTCCCACTAGAAAACAACTCTTTATTCAGACCCCTGCATCTGCTTTCAATCAAGTATTACAAAGGGAATTAACTATACCACAGGCAACAACAGCAATGAGGCTTGAGAGCATCTCTGGACAGAAAAGCTCTTCATGTTGACACTATAGCTCTCCTATAGAAACTAGGATGTATGTGTGTGTGCACAACATGCTTGAGGAACAACATGGTGAAATGGCTTGCATTTCACACCCAACAATCCTCCACCTTCCTGCTCAACACAAGACAATTTTTTCCGGGGGCTGTGCTTCCCTGGTTTATCCTCCTTACCCTGGTTTGAAGATCATCTGTGCAAATGAGCTCTGTGACTATGAATGGGACAATAACCATGGAGCTTGGAGCAACCTCAGGGCCCTGGTTTCAAGAGGGAGGGACTCCTACCTGCATGGGAAAACCACAGACTGGTTGCGGGCACTGTGCCTTGCAAAATCAGAGCCTAAAAGAAAAGTGCCACAGGGAACCAGCAGGTCCCTCCTACACTACCAGAAAGCTGTCAGTAGTCTTACCCTGGTTTCCACACTGCACTCACTCAGTGAAGATGCTCTAACCTCTCTCTTGGTATGATAAAAATGTTGGCCCTTTGGGCCAGCAAAGTTGAATTCAGCATCGGAGAGACATGACTACAATGACTGTAAAAGGGAACAAAAGACCACAGATCTGTCACCTTCATATCTCAGCACCAGAACAGAGTAGCAGTTCGAGAACAGAAATCTTTACTACCATCGTAAGCTGTATAAGCTATGTTTACCCTGCCCAAAATACCAGCTGTTTCATCCACCCAAGAAAGCCCAGAAACTTCAACTAGATGAAGAAAAACAAGGCTATTTTGCTATTCTGACCATACTGCTCTGCTGGTAATGGGTTGTGATAGACTTTAACTTTTCCTCCCTTTCCAGTCGTTTACTTTAAACTATTTCTTGTGGGGAGTTTGGGCTTACTAAACTAGATACTGAAAACAGAGAGGCTGCAGCCTATGCAGAATAAATGATTTAAGAACTGGGCTTGGCTGATTTATTTTTTTCCTCTGTCTTGGAGATAAAAATAAGGAACATATTTTAGTAATCCCTGCTCATTTTCATGGCCATTCCTGCACCTGTAACTCAAATAATGAAGCCATTTGTTATTTATATTGCATTTTCCCCTCTATTCTAGATTTCTAACGATCTGACCCTTCTTTATGGCCCTGACAAAGCCTGAAACCGGTGTGGACTTCCAATAATTGAACGATATAAGGAAAAATCTTTAACTGGAATGAAGCAGATGTTAGCTTCGTGCAGTCCCCTAACTTGATTATTCTTTGGACATGTTAGACAAGCATTAGTGATTGATAATGACGCTAATTAACCCCTTTCCTTTCCAAAACAGTAAACCAATGCCAGCAGGATTCTGCAAACAACACACACAAAGTACAGTATCTGTTCAAAGTGAATCAGGGACACAACTTCATAGCCCAGCGCTCAACAAAAATCTTATCCTGCTGACACCAAGCCAGCTCCAAATCTTCTCTAAGGCCTAACAGCTCCAGCTGCTTGCAGGACGGAGCAGAAACAGCCCTTTCACACAGAAGAGGTGCACGGGACAGAATTGGAGGCACCATATATTTTTTATACTTCTAACCTTTCACATTTGATTATCAAGCCACTTTAAATCACTCTGCCCTCACTAGCTGGGATGGACTTCACGTTGCTCCCTGTCCAAAGAGCACTGGTTATTTTAGCTGCATTTGCAAATGCGAAGGCTGAGGCTCTGGGAATCTTGTCTGGGCTGAGACATGCACGTACTGAGGAGGGAAAGGGAAGTGCACATTCTGGAATTTAAATGGGAGGCAGAAGACGAGCAAACAAACAAGGAGCTGATCTGATTATGCAGTCGCATTTATCATGGACAATAAAGAAATAGCCTTTAAATGTAAGGGTTTGGATAACTGAATACTCCTAGTAAGTGAATAAAATGTATTCAATTAACTAAAAACCTTGTGCACTTCTGAACTGAAGTGGAATCGACTGTAATTGATTTATTTGAAACCAGAGGTTAAGGACTGAATTAGCTAAGTACAACTGGGTATTTCAAGCCACTGACTTCTCAAATGTCAAATCCCTTCTATTTTAAATATTATTTCAGCTGCGGGGCATTGCTGTCCTGATGGCTGTTCCACCAGTTAAATCTCAAATTATATTAATATTTGATTTTTGGAGGGTGGGGTAAATTATGGTACAAAGAGGAGGGCTGTCCTTGTTCACAGTGAAGAGCACCAGGCTGTATTTTGGTTCACATATAGGAATTAGCTTAGCATGGCAGCTACGGTCTAACATTCAGCCACCACTCACCCTCGTTTCAACCGATCTGGGGGGAAAAAAATAACAACATATTTTTGTTTGGTGTATAAAAGCACGACCTAGAATTTTCACTGCTGCACCTCAATCACAACGTTAAAAATGCGCCTAAAGAACGCTAAAGTAATTAGCACGTTTTAGTAACTGCATATTGGTCACAGCAGAAGAGGCTGAACCGAAGCTAGTCTGATTTCCATTATCGCCTTTAAAATCCTTCCTTAGGAATAATAGTAATAAAGAAATCCATGCAAGGTCATTTCATTTCTAGTTTTTGGTGGCTTGCTAATGCAGCAGCAGGATGCTTAAAATGTGCTCTCCTACCATAAAGTAGCTAATTATATCTTTAAAACATTATTTATTATGACCTTATAATGTTCTAGCATAAGACTGCTTTATACATTGCCCAGTATAAAACGATTATATTGGGTACAGGTTTCAAAAAGTAACAAGCATCTGTAAATCCAGATATGAATGAATGGTATTTAATAAGATTGTTTTTGTTTAAAAATGAGTATTTATGTGTTGCTGTAGAAAGAGCAGCAATGTATTGCTGTTTATGAATGCTATTGTGCCTGAGGTTAGGATCCCACACACAATCTGAGATGCAGCCAAGAAAAACAGCCCTGATAGACAATGCTTCACTTCACCTGCTACAATACTGTGCATTTCATTTATGTCAAGAATATGTACAGTTAGGGTTCATTCACCTCATTATTTTGTTACATCTACTTTACGGTTAACCAGTCTCTCTTGGAAATAATAAATAACTGTTTTTAAAACAATTGCAGCTTTGCATTCAAAGGATCCACTTTCAATTTATGGAAAAAAAATATTCACCATTTTTATAAACTAGCTGGCTCTTGAAAATAGAATTTAGACTCCACCAACTCTCTTTCTGCTTGGCAAGATTGATTTTACACTGCCTTCCATAAGTAGATTACCAAAGCAAAATGAAACATCTTGGGCTTTATCTAATGCTTTGCTTCACCAGCTCTACCAAACATCAAAATATATGAGTAAATGTTAATTCTCTGTGCAGCTTTATTGTAAACACCTCCCTCTTAACCTACTCAATTTCTGCCTGAGCAAAAAGGGTGAAAAAAGAAAAGAGAGAGAGAGAGAGAGTCAGGGAGGGAAGGAAAGAGAAAGAGAGAAAAATCAGTCACCACCACCAAAATACCATCAGCACTTAAAGGAAACCCTCTCTTTAAAATGCCTTTACATTCTAAACTGCATTAAGTCTCCCTTCCTATGATATAACATAATCCAGCCTGATCCTGACTTCACCTACCCTCCGGGCCAAAGAAAATAGATTCAAAATCTGAATTCTCACATGTTTTTACAGCCCGTCTTCAAGATGTACACTCCATTTTTTTAAAGCGAAGTTCCCTATTTCACAACTGGTTTCCACAAGAAGAAACTCAAGATAAAAATTTCAGTCCCTTATAAACTGACACAACCATCTCAAAATGTCAGTCTGTGCATTCCACTAAAACACGAACCATCAATCAGAAATAATCTGTCTCCTGCAAGATTTCACTAAAGTTCACAACCGTGAGATGATTTTGTTGGCATCGACTACGGAGCTTTTCTATTTAGTTGAGGGGGAGGGAGCATCCAGCTCTGATTCATCAGTATATATTTTTTTCATAGCATTAATTTTCAGTATTTGCTCAGCAATGATTCTTTTTAAAATGTCCTTCTTGAGATGTGTTTTTTAATATCTGCTTTCCATTAGGACAAGTACATGTACAAAATTTTATAGGCTTATAATTCTGTATGCTATATATAAACATAAATAAAAACCTAGAGGTCAACATAAATAAAATAAAACTTTATTTTTTTAAATAAAATTATGTTTTGGTTAAAGAAAAGATAGTGTGTCATTTTGTTAGTAGTACAGACAATTTTTTATCCAAAAGAATACATTGTGCTTTATTGTGTCATTTGTCTGAATACAGACTCAGTGGAATATCTAAATGATACCCTGCTCTGAACTCCAAGTTGAAAGTAAGTTTTTATTATACTTGAGGGAAACAATGGGTTCAGCTGCTTATTGCAAGGAGCAATTGTCAAGGGAGAGTTAAACTCAATTACTGTAACCATACTGAATAAAAAATACTGCCAAGAACAAAAATACGCCTGGGTAAAGACAGCTACTGAATAAAAAAATCGACATAAAGCGTATCAAATATTTATTTATCTGGGCAACAAAGGACTATGATACATTGATAGGCATGGAAACTACTGCCGGCACAACTCAATACAATACAACTATAACTGCTTCCAATATGGCCAGTGGAAATACAGGATACCAGGTGGTCCCGAATGTTTGAAGTTCTTTGGGAAAAAAAAAAAAAAAAAAGAAAAAAAAAGAAAAAAAGGAGAAAAATAAAAACAAAAGAAAGGGAGAAAGAAAAAAAAAAAGAGAGGAAAAAAAAAGAAAGAAAAGCTAAATCTGTTTTAAAAGACAATATTAATTTATTGCTCTGTTGGTGCTTTCGGGAGAAGGACAGTTGATAAAAATAACTTCTTTCATTTTCCACAACACATAAGGGTTGTAAAACCACTAACATGTTTAAAAACTTTGCCAGGGTCCAACATCACTTTATTTTATCTTCAATGAGAAACTAAATGTCATACTAATTATATATAAAAATTCATGGGTTTTTATTTGTTCAGCTGCTTCATTGTCGCCTTTAACATGCTACAACAGGGCTAAAAATGATGAATCCCAGAGAAAAACCCCCAAAAAACCTCTGATATCTAAATAAGTACCATGAACCACATGATGAACTAAGAGGGGAAGATTTAAAACCCACTAAACAAGAGGTAAACGAGATCACCAGATAAATAAAAAAAGGCTTAAAACAAACTCACCATATTTACAATTCCCATTAAATTACACATAAATAAATATATACATACATGAACACTGATTCCCTTATATAATAACCGTGAATCGTGTTGCAATAGAAAGTTCAAGTTGGTCGCTTTACCTTGGACAGGAAAAAGTTCTACAACTGAAGATATGACATGGAACCGCTTGTGTTTTGTGTTCAAGTTTATTCACAATACTGATAAAATGTCATCAGTCCTTTTTGCCTTTTGTATGTCTCCTGCTGCTGTTGTACTTTTTTCACTTTTTTTTCTTTTTTTAATATGGCTACAATCTTAACTGAAGTTTATGTAAGGGAAGGTGGTGATTCAGTCCGGTGAAGCTCATAGAATTTTTAAGTATTATTTATTTCTTTTTGGTTTTTTTTTTATTTTTTTAATATATTTTTAGAAAAAAAAGTCCTTTTCTTTTTTGTTTTGTTTTGTTTTTTTGTTGTTTTTTTTTTCCTCCTTTTGTTTTATTTAAAAAAAAGTTCACAAACTCAAGACAGAACTTTTTTTCTTTGCTGGCTCCGTCCCCCTGTTCTGTTCTCTTAGGCTCCAAACTGGGATCAATCGATGGTGGCAATGGGGAGTGGGGGTGGGGGGGATTTAAGAGGGAGCAAATGGAAATGTGGATGCTGGGAAGGGGTGTGGAGGGAGGGCAGAGCAGTCCTGCAGAGTCAGAGAACAGGACTGGCAGAAGGACGCTCATTCTGTTGCTGTAGCCTGGGGTGCTGGTGCAGGGGAGAGGGAGAGAGATGAATGGATCGATGGGCTATGAGGGGGAAGGGAGAGGGGTGTGTGTGGGGGTGGATCCTCACTTTCGGTGCTTCTCCTCTTTGTCGCCGCTTTTGGTGCTGTTGTCTGTGTGGCTGTTGGGATTGTTGCTGAGGTACATTTTGTCCATGGCCTTGAGCGCCTCGGTGAGATAGTTCTGCAGGGCGGTGACAGCAGCACACACCGCCGGGCTCCCAAAGCCGTGCGAGATGAGGTTGAAGTGGGTCAGGCAGCTCTGGATGCCCGGCTCCAAAATGGGGTTGGGCCGCGAGTTCCCCAGGGGAGATCGGTCCTGAGCCAGCAGGTCGGTGAACTCTTTACAGATCTGTCTGTAGCATAAATGGAGCAGAGAGACAGAGGGAGGGAGGGAGCAAGGGGAAGAGAGAGGGAGAGAAATGAACCATCACTGGCGGCAGCAAAGCCCATGCATTCTCCCTGCTAGATTGCACAAGACCCTGGATCAAGGGGGCTGCTGCCCCCGAGTGCACACACACTCTCTCGCCTCTCCCTCTCCTCTCTATGCATCCTTCCCCCTAATTCTCACACTTGCCCAGCATGCACAGACCTCTTCCCTTCACCTTGCATGCACACACAACCACACAACACACACCATGCCCTGGCCCCAGCCAACACACAGGCAAATAACAGGCACACAAGGGACACCCATGCCTTGCCTACCCCTGCTGACCTCCATATCTCAGCTCCCCAACACTGTCTCCACAATCACACATTCCTGCTCAGCTAGAGTTTGGAGCATATATGCAGTTTAAAGTTTCCCAGCAGGCTGGAAAGTAATAGATAGGCTGTGCTACCCAAAGGTAGGTTAAGGGATTTATCTACATTTTGGAAGATCCCTTATTTTTGGGGGGGAGGAGGAAGGGGAGGAAACTGGAGAGAGGTGTAGGCTTCTTTCTTCATAAGGCTAAAACACACCTGTGTACCAGGAAGAATGAGTGAGGGCAAGGAGGGGACTTGAGGTTTTACATTAGGGTACCCTGAAACATTTATATATGTACATCTCTATCTCCAAATCCAAAGGGACCATTCCACAGAGGGGAAAGCTGATGCTAACCAGGATATGGAAATTCCCTTCCAGGGAGGTGGGAAGGCAGTATACCAGGGCACAGAGCAGAAAATAGATTATATCACCCACTCACTGCCCAAATGGTTGGGGAAATAACACACCTTATAGCAAGAGAGTTGAGAGGCGTGTTGAAATAGTTGGTATTCTAAAACCCATGTTAATGTCTTCCAGCCATAAAGTGTCTCCTATCTTCAGCCTGTGTCCTCTGGCATTGTGCCCTTTGGTGACGCCTCCACTGGTAATTAAGGGCTACTAAACAACCCTTTTCATTTCCAGCAAACACACAATCATTTTCTTTTCACGCACCACCTGCAAATCTAGGCAGCCCCGCCAATGATAAACTCCACTAGTATTTTAACTGCATACAGATTGTCATTTAAAATATATGTTTAATATCCCTATATTTGCTAAGTAACAGAGCTGCTTAGGCAGAAAGAACCATTGCGGATTTTAATGAACTGAAATCAGTATAATGTGCCAGTTTTATTTTACTCTCGATGGGAAGCCTTCCCTTTCTACCTAAATTGATAAGCTAAGTGAATAGGCCCAGAAAATGTTTTGCTCTGAAGAATTACTGCTTTTTCTGTAACTAAAGATCCACCCACAATTTTCACGACTCGCTTTCAATGTCATCTGCACAAAGTGACTTGATGGAAACCAAGTTGGCTTAGAGAGTTCTCCTATATCAGGAATGCAAATACACCCCCTCACAATTTGCGAAACGATCAACCACTGGTTATATGGCAAACAAATATGTTCACAAATAAAAGCCCCAAACCCGGGCTTGTTCCCCTCCCTCATTTCTAAGCAGCATGCCAAAAAGTTAAATGTCTTACTTTGTAGCTAGAAGCATGTTTTTTCTTGTGACTTGCTCGTTTGGATCGGAATGTTGTCGGTTGAGAAATTCAGCTACTGCTTTGGCAGGAAATTCTGTCTCACAAACGTACCCAAAATCTCTAGCTAGATGTACTGCTTCTCCTAAATAGGGAGGCATAGGTGGAATAGAAAGAAACACACAGTTCATCAGTACACATCCTACAGAGGCAAAAATCCATTAGAAAAAAAACAAAACAAAACAAAAAATCCCTACATTCTACTTGGGCTTTTCTTCTAAAAGGCTTGGACTTTTTCTCTTTGACAAAGGTAGGGCAAGAAATGCTAATCACATCTTATCTTTCAGGAGCTGTCTTTGCTTCAGTGGAAGGCAATGCAAATGTGTATTTTCATGACAATTGTTTCAACTGAAATTTGAATAAGGATTTTTAAAAGTTTACATTGACTAACAGATACTTTTAGACAGACAGGCTCCATCCACCTAGAATGTGTGCTTTGATTTACATATCCATACCTATAGAGAGCCATTTATGTACTTTTTATTCACAGCTACTTACTCTGAAAATGTGTTTGTCTCAGCCACATCTCTATATTATTTTGCAATGCATCAATGATTAATATTGATCATAATTACTCCTAGAGCTCTTCTAAATAAAATGCATTAAACAGCTAAGTGTTTAAAATTTAACTTGATCGCATATAATTATGTGTTCACCCCCAAACGATTAACCATGAGAATTTTAGGGTCATTCCACCGAGTCTGTCTGTTTTGTTGATTTTCAAATCTTTGGTTTTAATTTCCTGAACCAGTTGGTTTTTACTGCAGGGCTTCCTGCCATTAGCTCTAGCTCCGGAAGAACGCATGCGCCAATTAGAGCTTCAAAGCCTCAGTCCAGTGAGCTTGTTTCCATAAAATGGAGCGGATCATAAACAATAACAGTACTCTAGAAACTGCCTCATCGCTACAGGACTCAAAGCCCCAGCAATGTTTATACTATCATCCCCCCAAAATTAGCCACCATCACTAAGTTATCTGAAGATCAGGTCTCTGGTTTGGTTTTTTTTAAAAATCATTCTGTTAAAGCGCTTGTATGTGAAAGCCAAACAGAACAATAGATTACCATAAAACCTTCTCCATATTCATTAACATCACAAATAATGTTAAGCATCTACCAAATCTAGACTTTTTACAAGTTTTGCCCTCGTGATATGTCAATGCAATTGCAAAGCCCTTTCAAAAACATGAAGACGTGGTAATTTTCACGCAGTATAAATATAGTTCGTTCACTAATCCTGATGTTTAGAGCCTGGCATCGTGCAGCGCTTTTTTCCCCGTCCCTTTGAACATGAAACATTTCTAGTAGACTGTGAAGCGAAAACAAAACAGATTCCCGCCTACACAACCAAACTTAAGCTAAACCTGTGCAGCTCAGGCCGAGCTTAAAAGCGCTTTGCAAAATGAACCGGTCTAAAATGCAGTAGAACCCATAAGAAAGAGCAAAAGAGAAGGATCTATTTGCAGGTCTTGGGCATATTTTGTGTCAATTTGTGTGCAAGAGCCGCTGCTTCAAAACTAAATAACTGTATACGCTTGATCTTCCCACCTTCTGGTACAGACGGCATTGGGCATCCCAAAGCACTAAAAGTAACTTGCACCTTTTCTGGCCAGAGCAAAGTAGGGAACGATATAGCCAAGGGAACATGTGTTCCGAAAATGAAAACCAAAAGGGAGTGGGGGCTGGTGGTGGTGCAACTTTGAGGCTTTCAGGACACCATTAATTCATGGCTGAGGTCAAGGATTCCCAAATTAATTCAGGAAGTAATGGTCATGCATTTCTCAAATGCAGATGTCAGAAAAGTTAAATGATTTACTGTTATGTGGCTGCAGGCTGGGAAGCAGAACAAACTTTAAGTAGCTGCAGTTTCTGACATTTACAATTGCTTGGCTGTCCACCTGTGGCAGAAGGACAGCACTGAAGTATCAGAGGCTCTGCTGCCTATAACTTCCAACTAAACACTCAGGGGTCTCTTACGGAGCTAAGCCTGCAGCCCCTCTTCACAGGCATCCTTCCTATGCTGCTTCCAATGAAATCTGCTTACTAGGTGGAGGGATTACTCACTTGAAAGCAAGATGGGGCCCTGAAAACATCTCTCAGAAGCTTAAAAGCAAATAAATGGTAGAACGCGTTGCTGAGTCTGCAGGACTCACTCAAGCCCGTTTCAGGTTAAAACAAAAAGCAAAGGCACACAATTAACATGTTCTTTTTCTAAGACATAGGAAAAAAAAGCCCTTCCAAATGCCAATAAGCAGCACTGACTTTGGGGAAAGAAAAAAACCACATGAACACCCGAACATCAAGTCTTCTCCCCTTTAGCAAAAGCAGTAGGCACATTTTCCAAACAAGCTCTCCCAGCTCTTTGAGTCACTTACCCTCCACAAGCGATGTGAGCAAGGTAACGTTAGCAGCTTTACGCCTCCCGGCTGGCAGGTTTAGTCCTATTTTGTCCAGTTTCTCCCTCAGAGATCTCCCTCCGTTTTTAGACTTTGCCCTGCTCCGCACAGAAAGGCATTGAGAAATTGGGCTTGAGGGGGACACACGCTCTAGCTCTTGCCACAGATCCCCAAAACACATCGCCTTCCCATGGAGGGGCATTAAGGGTTTGGGTACATGGGATGGGATAAATGGTTGTGGGTGGCTGAAGACCAACTGTTGCTGAAGGCTGAGTCTCAGACACAGGGATGGTTCTTCAGATGTTTCCATGCCTAGGGAACAGGGGCCCTCACTAAAGTCTGGATGGGGCCAGGGCTGCTGGGGAGCTCTGAGGTAGCTGTCTGAGCTCCCAAGGTGCCACGGACCCAGGGACAGTTTCTCCCCAGGTGTTACAGGCAGAGGAGGATTTGTAAGGCTGGCAGCCCCCAGAGCATCGCTGCCCTTACAGCAAAACCTATGTGGCCCATCTGTGGCTTTTTGGCAGAGCCGTACTAAGTGTTAAGCGCAGCTTTGGAGATGCGAGCTGCCTTAATTAATCCTGGATGTTATTCCCTTCCCCGGGCGCTGCCTAATCGCCCGGGTGAGGCCACAGGGGTGGGAGCCCACGGCAGGGTGCCGGCCAGCAAACCTCTCCGGTGGGGCGTGGGAGTTGTCCGTGTGGGGTGTCCATCGCCGTGGCAGGGGAAGGGACACACAGGGGCCCCCAAATTGGGGCACTGGGGACGACACCAAGGCTGCACGTTGCCATGGCGACAGCGCCCGGACCCCCCTCCCGCGGCCCGGCGGTGCCTCCCCCGGCGGCCGCGCGTGCCCCGCCCCCTGGCGGCGGCCGCCGCGCTTCCCCCCGCGCCACCGCCCCGCGTGGGCGCTCGCATCCCTGCCTCCCTCCTTCCCTGCCGCCCTGCCTCCCTCCCTCCCTCCCTCCCGCACGGCATCCCGCCTCCTCCCCGCGTCCCCCCGCCCCTCACCTCCGGAGCACTCCGCCCAGCAGGGAGGCGTTGAGGCACTCGGGCGGCGACAGGCGTCTCTGCACTTCCGCCACCGTGACCTTGTACTTGGAGGTGGAGCTGAGCAGCGAGAGGCGGCCCGGCACCGAGCAGAAGACCTCGTTGGGGTTCACCACCCCGCCGAAGAGCGCGTCCTTGTTGATGGGGATGGAGGAGACGGCGTTGTTGTTAGACTTGGAGAGGGACACGGGGCCTGCAGGGAGGGAGGAGCAGGGAGGTGAGGGTGAGGAGCGGGCGGGGAGCCGGGGGAGGGAGGGGGAAGCGCCCGAGCCGTTCGCTGCGGCCAGCCCCGGCCCCGCACCGCCCGCGGGGCAGCGGGCAGGGAACGGAGGCGCCCCTCCGCTCTGTCGTCGGGGGGCGCAGGGAGAGAGCGGGACAACCCTCGACCCGCAGCGGAGAACCTGGCGGCCCCCGCAGCCCCGGCCCAGCGCACGCTGTCGGTGCGGCCCGTCGGTGGCCCCGCAGCGTCCCCCCGGGGCCCCGCCAGCAGCAGCGCGCACCTTCTGGCGTGGAAAACCCGTGACGCAGGGAGAGGAGCCAGCACCCCAAAATACAGCCCGGCCCCTTCCCGGCGGCGGCGGGCGGGGAGGTGCCGGGCCGTGCAGCCGCTCGGACGGCGGTGCCCGCCGGCCCCGCGTCCCGGCCGCCTTCCCTTTCTCCTCCTCTCTAATGCGCACCGCTTGGCGGGCGCAGTCCAACCAAGCGGGGGGCTCTCTCCGTTTTGGATAGATCACTTGTGACATTAATAGCTCTGGGAAGGCTAATAGATACAACAGGAGTTAAACGAACTCTTGAGATTACTAATAAAAGAGCCAATTATCATGTCGACTTGGAAAGAGCATCTCTTAAGATTTATCCCTTGCACATCTAATTTGACGTGACAAAGGCTTTACGGGGAGGGGGTGGGGGGGCAGAATGAAACTTCAGGTTCGCTGGCTGTACAGCTATTACGGTTAAAGAGGAGAGTGCCTCTACTCAGCATCTCTTCCGGTCGTGGCCAGGGTACCCAAATTCCAGATGACCGAGCAACCATGGCACCCCTCAGAGCAGGCAGGAGCTAGCTACGCCTTCAGCCCTGCCAGTTTTACTCCAACAGCATCTCACTACACATCATCCAAACACAAAACCATATCTTTCCACTGAGAATCGCCTTTGCAAAATGCCCTGTGCCACCTTTACTAATACTTCAGTTGCCCGAAGAAAGATGGGAAATGAAAATCGAGTGAAAACATGCAATAAATATTTTACTCGATTTGGGGACCAGCTTCCAAGCAATTCAATTCCAAGTGAAGCAAGCGCACAAAGCCAACGAAAACCAAACCACCCTGACCGACAGGCATCAGTTTCAGAAACTGGCCCCTAGTTCTTCACCAGCCCACCTCATCACCGTTGTGATATAAATAAGAAAACCCGATGCAGGGGGAACAACAATTTCACTTTCTCTGCCCCGTTTACCAACAACGGTTCAAGCCCGCTGCTCAACCAGCTGCATGGGTCAAACCATGAAACCCAGTTGTCCGCTAACGCACTAAAAGACCGGGTCGGATTTTCTAGATCATCTGCTAACATTTTTCCTCGTTAACGACAACAATAATTAAAATAGCCGGCAAACCTGGCCATTTAAGAGGGCGCATTTTAACCCACATCGCCCGTTTTTTCTTTCTCTCCTGCCAACATTTTGGCCAACAGTACATGCTACAGGAAGGAGCCCGGGGCCGGGGGGCTGGAGGGGAGAGGGGGGAGGCTGGGTAAGTCCTCCCTGCGAGCAGTCCCCAGCCTGTGATGACATGTTTGGTATGCGCAAGGAAACGGCTTACCTTTCTTAATTACAGTTTGATCTGGGATGTTAATACCGGGGTCTTCTACGTGCTACAACAAAAGGAACAGGCAGGGATGTCAGTGTATAACCACAACAAAAGGCAGGGAGGGCCGAGGTGGGATGGGGTGTGGAAGAAGTTGTGTGCCCCCCCCTCCTTCCCAGGCATGGTGTGGGGAGGGAAACAACAGATCCTGCACGGGGAGGAGGGGAGAAGAGGGGATTTGCAGGGATTTCCTTTATCGAGAGGAATCCTGCATCCCTCCCAGCTCTTTCCCCCGATCCCCAAGAAAAATATCATAAATCACTCAGAAACCCCCGGGGCCCAAGTGGCCTCCAGCTTCTGCGGGCTCCCTCCTCCCGTCCCTTCCCTCCTCCCCGGGAAGCAGCCCCGGCCCGGCCCGGCCCGGCCCGGCCCGACCCGGCCCTTCCCTGCCGCTGCTCACTCTCCCGCGCCCGCGGGAGGGAAAGCACAAAGGAGCGGGGACCGGTGCGGTACCGGGGAGGGCTCACGCGTCCTGCGCGGCCCCGGGCTCCCCCACTATTGTCCCCTCACGGGTTCCGCGGTCGCGGCTACAGCTGGGGTTCGCGCGGCAGAGTCACGACGTGATTAGAAAGTCAAATGAAATCATGTTTTCTAATTCCAAAAACTGACAGGCAATATAATGTCTGGCTGTGTTTACAAATTAACACCAGTGCTGCTGAGATAGAAGATTTCGCAATCGTTACAAAACCCAGGCATTACCATTTAAAAAACTATTACTTCCTTCTCTAGTCTTTGTCCAACAATAATACTGATTCTAACATTTTCCATTCTGTCTTGGATTTATGCTCCTGTTAATTGTGCCTGATCTCAATGATTCCGGGTGGATGGTACTAAGTTGCTTTATTACAGGTTTTATTATACTCAATGCTCTCATTTGTAACTTGCCTAAAGTGCTTCTGGATTTAAGTATAATTAAATTGAGAAATGTTCAGAAATGACTACTGCTGCAGTTCTTGTGTTTTAACTATATGGGGAAATATGATCCCTTTATGCATGCACCCTAAACCCATAAAGTAAATGTAGTGTGGCATAATACTTTTATTTGTGTTATTTCTACACATATTCCATACAGGGAGGACTGTTAAGTTTAAAATCCCACAGAGATATTTATGATTAAATAATTTTCACCATCTACTTGACTTTCTTAAATATTTAGCGGTCGTTTTTATTAAAGATTAACTGCTGCAGCAACAGAAAAATTACAAAGATTACCCTCCCAACCTAGATTTCTGTAGAGGATTATTTTTTTAAAAAAATAGATAAAATATCTTAAAAGATACATCCTCTTGTTTTATACTTTCCCTCATGAAGCCTGCTGATTCAGTTTTACAGAGGAAAAAATGGCTGGGCTGGCTCAAGGATTTAAACCAGATGGCATTTGGTTTTCACAAAGTATAGCAATGCTATTAATTCATAGATCTGCAGAGGAGGCTTCCAGAATCAGCCCACTGCGATGGAGCACAACTGAGGAGAGGCAGAATTCAAGAGAACATTTTAGGTCATGTTCTTCCTACAGCAATCAGGGGCTTGCAGTCAACAAATTAGTTTATTCTTACGATTGCCTCCACGTTATTTTATCTCAAGTTTAAAGAATCGACCTGCTTTTAACGGATCCAAATTGCTTACTAAATCCTCCACTTTGGGAAATGTATGCGTTTATTGCAAAACTGCTAAACACAACCAGCAATTTTCTGTGGCTAATTTAGCCAGATGAGGGCTGTAATAAATTCACTATTTTCCCCAAGTATAATTTACAAAAGATTTCAAAATGACCCCCAAAAATAGGTAAGTTCATATGAACATTATCCTTGCAACACGAAACTGTACTCATTAAACTGTCAGCAAATATATTGTTGTAATATTTGATCCTGTAATTTGGGATGGCATTTCAGCAAAAATCACATCCAGATACCACAGTTCCCTCCTCCTCTTTCCTTCTGCAAGTCGAGCAGCTTCGGTCCCTCAGCACAAGCTCTGTGGGCTTTAATAAATTTATTGCCATGTTCTAATTCCATTTTCAGGGAGAAACCCAGAAAGATGAACTTTGATCATGACCAATCATGTTGCATAAGGCCACTTTCCTAACTGAACAATAGCCCTGGCTTGCTTTGTAAGTAGCCTGTGTGCTAATGTCATGCTTAATTAGAAATCATTTTTAAAATCTGTATTTATCGATAACAGAATTAGGTCCCCCAAATCAAGCATCCTCCAATAGGCTCTCAACATTTAATTTAATATAGGGTGTAGCAGGTCTGGCTCAAATTCGATAACCTATAGCTAATGATTTATGAGGTCATCCCTTTGCACCGCTACTAAAAGAAGGTGGCAGCGTTTTAGTATACCTCTTCCCTGATTTGTCAATTAATTCCTTTAGAGAAGAGGATCTGCCCATACCCTTTATAACTTTGGATGTGATTATCCTATATGCCAATCCTATAATCGCGGGATACCGATTTTTCCTTCTCCGGTCACTTTCACCCACTTTTTTTTTTTTTTTTTCTCTCTTTATGTTTGCCTGGGAGGACATTTAATGACATCTCTCGTTTCAGACTTGTGTTTTTCCCAAGGCAGCAAGAGATCCCCAAATGCACGGCCCTGTGGTGATATTATATATTCTTCCAATCGTAACAGCTTATTGTCACTGAGAAGGAAAGATATTGTTAACGATGACAGTAATTTGATTTATTTATATTTTAGCGGGCACGTTAGCGGGAGGCGTTGCGCAGGGACGAGCTGCGAGAACCTATTGTTCTAGGTGGGGGCTTCACTTTTCCCGGGGGGCGGAGGGGGAGTTCTCTTCTTCCCTCCCCGTTTTTTTTAGGGGAGAGTGGGCGGGGGACCCCCTCCGTCCCTCACCTCCCCAGACGTTGAGCTCCCGTGGGGAGGGGGATGGGGAAGAGGGATGAGCGGGCCCCGGGGCGGCCCCTTGGCTTACCGGCACGTCCTCGATGGCGTGGGGGATGGAGTGGAGGGGCAAGTCGGCCAGCCCCGAGCCCAGCCCGTGCGGGGCGTGCAGCAGGTCGTCGTGCCGCCGGTAGTCCCTGCGTGGGTCGAGCCCCGAGAGCTGGTGGGGTAAACCCCGGTGCGTGTGGAGCAGCCCCGTTTCCTGGCTCTGCCTCTGTCCCGGCCATCCTGGGTGCTGGGGCTGCGGCTGGGCATGGAGGGGGTTGAGGCTGTACGGGTCGTTCACGTGGGAGTAGGGGTCCTGAGACTGGGGGTAGATGGGCTGGTAAGGGGGAGGGAAGTAGGGCGGCTGGAAGTCGGCGTTGGGGGTGTGGGAGAGCGGCGGGGCGCTGGTGTAGGGAGACTGACCCACGGTCCCCAACTGGGGTAGCCGGGCTGTCCCGTTGCTGGTACTGTCGTGGCGCTCCTGAGGTGGGGAGCGGGAGCGAGGGGGGGTGAAAGGGGTGGGGGAAGGAGGGGGAGGAGGGGGAGGGGAGAGGGAGAAAAGAAAAACAAAGATAATATCAAACTGATTCTCCTCAAAATCGGCTTGAAAATTTCATCTACTGGTCAAGGATGGGCAATTCATCCTCTCCGAGGCGGAGAAAAGCAGATCTGGGGATTTCTCTGCCTCTGATTTCCCTTCACAAATAATTGAGAGGCAGTCTCGCTCTTTAAATAGCAATAATAACGGCAATAATGAAAACAGCAATAATAGCAATAATTACAACAGGACTGCTTATAATAATTAATAAAACATTGCGGCGATACAGCATGGATTCCCAACAGATCGCGCCCCGGCATTTCAGGAGCAGGTATTTCCCACAAATAAAAAGAATAATTCATGATCGGGCATTATTGAAATAATAATTCCACTACAACCCAAAATCCTCCCTCTGACCCTGAACAGAACCGAGATAAATGTGGCTAAGATTACCAATTACGCGTCCCAAGAAAACCCTGGAAAATCCAAACCCACTGCCATTTTGTTACCAAGAAGACACTGAAATAGGCTCCAAACAAACCGGTCGTTCCCCCAAAGAGTTTTAGAAATGTTTCGGGGCGAAAGCACTGACATGATCCCCAACCTGCGGGGAGAGCCGTACCGGTGCCCGGCCGAACTCCCTGCTCGCTAGCGGGCGATTTCGGAGCAGAGCGGGCGGCTGTGACCCGGCCACTGGGGAAGCGGAGGAATGCGGCAGGCAGCCGGGGAAAGCGCCGCCGCCCCGACGGGCGAGCGGTGCCGAAGTGCGCCCGGGGTTTTCGGTAGGCTCTGCCGGCTTTTGAGGCCGGGCAGATGAGCCCACAGGCACGTCCGGGGAAAAAAGGAATGGCCTCCACGGAGGAGGATTCGAGGGAAAGAACCACGATCCCGAAAAATGAAAACGAGGAAGCCGAAGATATTATGTTTGCAGGTGGCAAAGTGAAGGATTCGAAGCGGTAGGGTCCAAGCAAAGCCTTTTGCCATTCGTTCGAAGCAAACCATTTAAAAAA